AATGAACTTCAAATCACTCGGCGGTGATTTGAGGACTTTGCTTCAGATATTTCTAAAATATCTGTACTGATTTTGTGAGAGAGAAGAGTTTAAGATGAAAGGAGATTATCTTACAGAGAACTATGTGAGGGAATTTAATCTGTTTGACCAGAAGTTGCACGCTCCGTCAGATCTCAGCTTTGCCCACGGTACACTTGGTCGAAGAAGAAGTTTTACCTTGTTGATGATCGATCACCTCAGTAAGAATCCTTTTCAACTGATATCAGCGTCTCCGTTGAGAACTGCTAAAATCCTTAGAGAGTCGTGCGTGGTTAGCTCAAACAGAAATTATAATTCCAAACGTCTCTGGATTCTCGGCAACTCCAAAACTCTCCATAACTCTAGTTCTCTTCTGACTCCTTCAGAACTTTTCCATTCTCCATGGAATCTACTGCACTCTTTGGAACCGACTGCACTCTAGACTCGACTGATAGAACCGGGAAGTTGTCACATTTTAAATGAGTTTACTTCCGAGTTTACTTCAGAGCTTTCTGATTCGTGGATGGACCAGAAAGAGGAGTGGTTTTTTGACGTAAGTTATTATCAAAAGTCAAGGATTGTTTTCAACATACAGAAAAGATTATTGCAGTCGACCAGACTTCGTGGAGTCTCACACTTGGTAATCTTTTCAAATAGTAAAACATGACATTTCTTCTTCAGTAAACATTTTAGTTGACCGAAAACCAACCTTTCACATACTTACGACTTGACTCATTTCAGACAGAAAATCAAGAAATGCATATTCAGGTGATTTCTTCTTTGAATGAGGAATAAAAATCATTACTTACTGTTTATGTAAAATAAAAATGAGTAGTTCTTTTCAACCTGTAAAGCATTGAGTGAACTAACACAATTTGATTATCAAAACATTTGTAAGACAGTAATGATTATAAAGAATTGTCTTTTCTGCTTGATTAATTCAAGAAAGAAAGTCATCAGATGGCCCAGACTTATTCAGATTAATGAAAATAACAGTCTCTGTCCATCTGGTAGATTTGAGGTCAGATAAGGGTCAGACCAGGTTCACTACAGAGTCCTGGCCTGATGTCCTTCTGTGCTGTTCTTCTTCTTTTTGGCCAGTGGCTGTTTAGTTTCCCTGGTGTAAGACTGTTCTGTATGGTGTTCTGAGCTGCCAACTAAAGGGATGAGTACAGACGCCAGATATTTGGAAACATTGTAAGTGACAGAGTTAATCATACTAACAATAGTTCTTAAAGGTACACCTTGTTTGTGGATTTTAGGTAAACCATACAGACTAGGTGTGGCCTCCGCTGGGTACAGTCTGTGGTACAGCAAACGGTCAATAGCCTTGTCCTGCTCCAAAATTTTCAGGCAATCTATCAATTTCTTCTTGTAACCACTTCCTGGATCTCTTTTCAGAGGTTCATAAGTGTTTAAGTCACTAAGGAGTGTCATAACTTTCTCATGATAGTCTTTCTGGTTCAAAATCACTGTGCACCTTCCTTTGTCTGCTGGGAGAATGATGATGTTTTTGTCCTTGCTAAGAGTGGTGAGTGCGTCCCTCTCCTCTCTACTGATGTTGGAAGGTGGTGGTTTGGCATTGCTGAGGCAGGATGAAACTTTGATTCTGAGCTGTTCTGCTTCAGCCTCTTTAATTTTGTTGTTGCGGATGGCTGACTCAGTAGCTGTGATCATCTCCACCAAAGGAATTCTACTTGGTGCAACCGCAAAGTTCAGTCCCCTGGCAAGAATCTCTGTCTCCGGCTGGGTGAGCTGTCTGTCAGATAAATTCTTCACCCACTTTTCTGTCTCCCTGACATGTAATTGTCTACTGGAGTGTTGTCCTACACTGAATGTGTTGTTATTGGAATAGTGATGGTGTTGATGAGTTATTAGTAAGTTAAACTTGTTTTGTTGTCAAGTCTTGGATTTGACATGCTGTGCTAAGCGTGCCTGATCTGTACAGTCCATCACTTGCTGAAGTGTGGTCTGATCTAGGCACGTTTTAAGTTTTTGTTTAATGTGCTCTTCTTTGGCCTCCAAGGCCTCAATAGTAAAATTGGTCTGTCTCACTCGTTCATTCAGCAGCCGAGTCTGTGCCTTCTGAAGGATATTGCTTGCCCGGTGCCCGCTGACCGAAGATTTTAGTTTCAGGCTCTTGGGAATCTCTTGGGAGAGCAGAGGTTCCAATTGTTCCAGTCCAAAGAAAGAGCGTCGAAGGTGAGATTGAGGTAGTGGTTGGCAAATGGTTGGAAAGAAGTGAAAACATCTCAGGTAACTCACAAGAGGTCTTAAGGATTCACAGGAGGGTCCAGGAAGAGGTTCATTGCAGGAAGCCGATACTGAATACATTAAATTTGTTGGGCTTTTCGATCCCAAACAATTATTCTGTCATTGCCATTGCTGACTTGCTTTGTTGTTTCTTTCTATAGGTAAAATCTCTTTATAGGGCTCTGGGTAAAATAACACGTGGTAGCAGGCAGCCTTTCACAAATGTTGCTTTCAAATTTTTTATTCTATGGACACATTAACTATTAATGTGAGAAAAATGTGTGCAAATTTTGTTTCTTGCTTTAGCACTTTGGTTGGCCTTGTTGCTGTTTTAAGTGCTATATAAATAAATTGGTATGGTATGGTATGGTATTTTTAACAATCTTTCTGGCATTGTTATATTTATTAAATGCTTAAAAATATGTTTCAAACAAGTTGGGAGATTAAAATAAGTTTTATTTTATTTGTGATTCTGCTCCTCATTAAAAAAAAAAAAAATCAGAGAAAAAAAAAAAAAAGAATAAAATGTTTAGGAATTTTTACTCACTCTGGAACATATTTGCAGACAGGCAATCTCATGAGCCAGCTGCGAGGGTCCTAGACGGGAACACCTTTCCAAAATGGCAGCCAACAGTAGCAGCACGGGTAGTAAATCCAGCAGCAGTACCGGTGGAAAACAGTCCGGACCGTCGGCTGAACAGGTATTTTCAGCTACTGCCGGGTTGCATTAGTCTGTGACTTCTCTCCTGTTGTTTAGTCGATTCTGGTGAAGCAGGACTCGGAACTTTTACCACCATGACAGCCAAAGCTAACATTAGCTTAGCTTTTCTAATCGCCATCATCAACCTGCTTCCTTCGAGCTCCAAAGCTGTACAATACCGACCAGAGTCAAATTAGAATATTATCAGCGTTTAGTAAGAGATTAGACTGGGTTTGGATCTCTGATGGAAATATTAATAATAGCATTAGTCTTGTGTCAATGTTGAAAACCGATAAGGGGTGTGGTGTGTGGTTTGGTCTGACAAAGCAGGAGGCTATTTTTATCACTGAAGTCCACCTTAATTCACTTTACATTTAACTTTTTGTCAGTGACAGTTACCCATAACAACTAAAATATGCAGAAAGAGTGTTCTCTAAACATAATTGCTTTATTTACAGTGTTTCATTATGTTAAGATTGAACAAAATAGTAAAAGTTATATCTGCAATGAACGATGATAAACAGCAGAATCATTGCAAACAAATCTGAAAAAGTGTGGGTCTTAACTAAAAACACTTTTTTAATGCAGGACCAAATCAGTAATAGTTGTGAAATAATTATATTTAAGTTGCAAATAATCTGTGTTTAGCTACCAAAATTAGAAAACTAATGAGGATATTTATAATTTATTAAAATAAATGCATGATAATAATAATTTCTTTTGGATAGAAAGATGTGAGCACGGATAAACATTGCATGATACAATACAGCTTCTTTTTCTGGTTATTCTTCTCCATATCAAATTAGTTTACAATAAATTTATATTTACAGTTGTCAGATGAAAAAAGACTAAAATGTTGATGTATTTACATCTGTAAAACTCTTGTAACTAATTGTGTGAAAGTACAGATTTCTTATATTTTTTCCACTATATTGTATCAGGTAATGAAGTTCCACATATAGTGAAATATATATCAGTATATAAGTTTATAGCCAAATCTTCAGATTATTTGGTCTCTGCAATGTGTGTTTTATTTACATATTCATAAATGTAATTATCAAAAGCTAATCAACATCACCAAGTCTGATGCACAAACCTAAATACAGCCAAAAAAGGGAAAGTCAGAATCTTCAATCGCTAAATTATGATTTAATATTTTGTCACAACTTTTGAACAGACAGAACAGATTGCTGCGTGAAACTATTATTAATCTGCTATATGAAACAAATCTGACTCATCATTGCCGCCATGTTTCTGTGTGTTTTTACTTTGTGACAGGTGGTGTCAACATTTCAGAGGATGCGTCAGGAACAGCGTAATATGGCTTCGAAGGCTGCCGAGCTGGAGATGGACATCACTGAGCACAGGTCGGTGACTGGTGTCTTCCTCTGCAGCCTTTTCTTTCACTCTCAGCTTTTAGTCTTTAATTTAAACAATCTAAACAAAACAATCTAACACCAATCTTTAAAAAAAAAAAATCTTTAAATTCTAATTTTTTTAGATATACTCTGATTGGCATTTTAGTGATATCAGTTTAAATTCAAACAAACGTAATTTAGGACATGGTTGAAGGTAATTTTGTCGATTCAGTTTGTTTATATTGTGTCACTTCGCAACAAGACACCTCGGGACACTGATCAAGTCCAAAGCATGAATCCAGTTGGACTCTAGCAATGTCTGTCCAGTCAGAATAAATATTTTACAACATGTCAATAAGGAAAAAGTTTTCTAAGAAAACTGTTCAAACTTCACTTTGACACAATCCTTCATCCTGAGCAGCACAGTGGTGACAGTGGAAAGGAATGACTTCCTCTTAACACAAAGAAACAAAGGAGTGCTGTCTGCTTCAGTCGGTTGGGGGTTGAGAGGACAAAAAAATGAAACAAACTTAGATGCAATTAGTCCAGATGCAATTTCTATGGCGAGAAAGACAAAATAAAGGTTAATGACAGCAATAATTGCATGTATACACACAGAGGAGAGAGCGTCAGAGTGAGATGTCAGTTTGTCCTTCAGCAATCGAAGAGATTGCTCAGGAAACCCAAGCTAACCCTAACCAAAGGATTTATCCAAAAGAAAGTAAAGACAGGTGCCAGCCTTCTTCATATTCACAGACATAAAAGTGGAAATGTCTTGAAAACATCCTGTTTGCTTTGAATTTTACTGTTAGCCCCCCCTACACTAGATAATGACCCCACTATGCTCTTTGGGGCATTTTAGATAGTGATTAACAGTAAATTTGAAAAAACCTCAGCCAGCACAACTCTTCTGGTGCCTGGTCACAAAAGTTGCACAACTTTATGAAAATGAAAGTTCCTAAACATTTGACTAAAACTGTCTTGCTTTTAGATGTTTTTGAATGCCATGAATGACTGTCCAGTTTATTTCTGTTTTCATTTTGTGTTTAGTTTAGTCATTGAGACCCTAAAGGACGTGGATCCTTCGAGGAAGTGCTTCCGCCTCGTAGGCGGGGTGTTGGTGGAGAGGACTGTAAAAGAAGTTCTACCTGCGCTGGAAAACAACAAAGAACAGGTAACCGAGGGAAAAAACATAATTATACCACTGAGAGTTCTGAAGCTATGGTAAAGATCAGGAGATGAATGTGATTAAAACCCTTTAAATCACCAAGTTAAGTTTTTATCAGACTGCATCGTACAACCAACAATATCCCAGAAACCTCAGTGAAAGATCAGAGCAGATGAGCTAACGGCTAGTCTGAGCCGGACCAAGGCCAAAGTAGATTGCTGCTGCCATTAAACACGTAACTGTTCACAAACGTTGTAGTTCAGTTTTACATCAGT